AAAATTCTACCTCAAAGATGGACAAAAAATAAATATCCCTGATCTTCAAGTGTATATGATACAAATGTGCACATTATACCTTCCTTGTACTTTACTGGTATCTCTTATGAGTCAGCAAAGGATTGAAATTGACATGACTTTTACTCTGTCAAGTCCCTCAAGTCAGGAAATTTCTGAATTTCATTCTTTTATTATCTCAAAAGTCCCAAGCCCAAATACTCTATATTTTTCCTGTAAAAGATCATGCCAGGATATACTGTGTGGTTAGTTCAAACTAATCACATGGTACTAGCTCATGAAAGGAGATGTATTTAAACAAACTACTGATCTAGAAGTGCAGTACATGTGGGAAATGAATAATTCTGGCATCATAATTAACCAGTGTAAGAAAGCTAGCTGCTGCTTCTGAACCTATTGGAAAGACTGTATAGAGACAGCAGGAAAGCCAGCATTAAAAAGCATAATAACTAAGTGTCTACTCAGGAATAAGAATCTTTGTATGAGACGTAGAAAGCAAGTGTTTTATCTTGACAACATTCATCACCTGTGTGAAATCAAAACCACATCTGAATTTTCATTGATTTAAATTTTCATAAGTTAACATTAGAAAGACGAGTCTGAAGTGACCCTGAGAATTCCTAGCAGGATCAACTGCCAAAATATCTGACCCATCTAAATTCAGGTGATGGAAGTTCAACCCTCCCATACCTCTATCTTGTAGCAATCAATAGCAATTCCGTCTTGGTTGGGTTGAGGCAGAGCTTATTCCAAACCATCTAAGATTGAATTTCACTCAAACAATTAGATAGCAGGGAGACTTTCATAACAGGCTCTGGTGTAAAGGATAAGTAAATTTGAGTAATGTATGTGTATCAGTGGAAGTCCAATTGTGGTAACTGCCGATATTGACACCATACAGTAGAACATACAGATAACGAGAAGAATTTGGCCCAAAATAGAACTGAGGGTTTTCTTCATTGTAATGCAGTGGTCTCCAACTTTTTTGTACACAAGATCACTTTCTGAATTTGAGATCAACCCAGATCTACTCCGCCCCAGTCACTCCATTCCTGCCCCCGCCCCGTCGCTCGCTTTCCCCCACCCTCACTCACTTTCACCAGGCTGGGGCAGGGGTTCGGAATGTGGAAGGGGGTTCCGGGCTGAGCCTGGGGCTGGGGTGCAGGAGTGAGGGGTGCAAGCTTTGGAAGGGAGTTTGGGTGTAGGGGTCATATGGTCACACTGCACCTAATCTCATAGAATCTACTGGACATTTCATGAGTTTTACTTTTTATTAGTGTCATTTGTAGTTTATAGATCCAAAATCCTTCAGGGATTGTCACAAATCAGTGTAACATTCTCAACTGTGGCATGTGCATTGGCTGAGCCTGGGGCAGGGGGTTGGGGTGCAGGAGTGAGGGGTGCAAGCTCTGGGAGGGAGTTTGGGTGCAGGAGGGGGCTCCAGGCTGGGGCAGAGCGTTGGGGTGCAGGAGAGTGAGGGGTGCAGGCTCTGGGAGGGAGTTTGCTGCTGGAGAGGGCTCTGAGCTGGGGCAGGAGATTGAGGGGGGCAGGAGATGGTGAGGGGTGTGGGCTCTGGGAGGGAGTTTTTGGCTCCGGGCTGAGGCCCGGAGTGTTGGGGTTGTGGGTGTGAGGTGCAGGCTCTGGCTGGGAAGCGCTTAATACAGGCGGCTCCCGGTCGGCAGCGCAGTGGGGCTCAGGCAAGATGTAGATTAGTCAAGCCTATATCTGCTCATAAACTTATCCAGATTCTTTGTTCTTCAATTAGAAAGGCATACATGACTGGTTAGAGAGGTCTGTATATGGTAAGTAATGGATTAAATATTTGAAGAGCACTATACAGGCTGGGTTTTATTTCACAACTTTTTAAAAGTTTGCCTTCTCAAAAATTAAACCAACATTTGTTCGCAGGGGAAAAAAATCAATACAATCAAGATTAAAGAAAAAGATCCATTTATAAAGTGGTCTGAGCTTTTAAAAATATATCCTTTTAGTTGTGTGTGGCCTTTTTTCCACAGGGTATTTGTGCTTGTTTTTGTTTTACCCCAAGGATAGAGGGGTGAGTGTAAACTCTGATTTAATTTTTTTTACCACTGGTTGTAGCAGGAAAAAAAGTGAAAAACAAATCCTGGGGATTGAAACATGCAGGAACTTTGAAACTGCATAATACTGACTTTTTGTCATTATTCATAGATTCCAAGGCCAGAAGGGACCATTGTGATCATCTCGTCTGACCTCTTGTAAAACACAGGCCATAACCCCCCCCCGTCCCCCCCCAAAAAAATACCTAGAGCAGATCTTTTAGAAAACAATCAAATCTTGATGTAAAAAATTGCCAGTGATAGAGAATCCACCACAATCACTGGTAAATTATTCCAGTAATTAATTGTCCTCACAGTTAAAAACTTATGCCTTATTTCCAGTCTAAATTTGTCTAGCTTCGGCTTCCAACTACTGGATTCTGTTATGCCTTAGGTCTGCTAGATTGAAGAGCCCATTATTAAATATTTGTTCCCCGTGTAGGTACTTCTAAACTGTGACTAAGTTACCTCTTAACCTGTGAGCAGCTCTCAGTCATGGCAGTAGTGGCTGCATTCCTTCTAAGATCAGGAGTGTAGGTTTATCCCTATCTAGATGACTGGTTTGTCAAAGCCTGGTCTAAATGGCAAGTGTATAGCATTAACCTGATCCAGTCAATGATCCAGGACTGTTAATCAACACACAAAAGTATCTCCTCTCCCCAGTCCAGAGGGTAGAGTTTATGGGGGCTGCACTGGAATCATCTCAAGCCAGGGCCTTTCTTCCATGTTCCAGGCAATTCGATCAATTGTCGTAGGTCTGCTGGTCACAACAACACCAAACTGAGGCTTCTGGGTCACATGGCCTCTTGCACCTATGTGGTTCACTATGTCAGACTGTGACTCAGAACTCTGCAGGGCTGGCTGGCATCTGTCTACCCACCAAACCACCATCAATTGGACTCCCTGGTAAGAGTGCCCTCCCATGTCCTCAAGTCCCTAGATAGGCATTCCATTTGTTCACCCACAACCAACTTTCATGCTAGGGACAGATGCTTCGGTCCTCGGATAGGGAGCCCATTTTAGTTCTCTGCCGGGTCTCTTGTCCTCAGAGAACTTAGCTTTACGCATCAGTGTCAGAGAACTGAAAGCTGTGCAAGTATTTCTATCGCAGATCAGGGGAAGCAGGCTGTTAGTCGGCACAGACAGCATGATGGCAATGTTTTATCTCAACAAGCAGAGGGGAGCCCACTGTTCCCCACTCTGTCACGAAGCAGCCCTACGCAGGGAGCTTTGTCTTGGCAGCTCAGTAGATCTAGAAGCATCTTACCTGTGGGGTGTACAGAATGACTTAGCAGGCCACCTGAGCAGATTGTTTGAGTCACCACAAGTGGTTTCTTCACCTAGTTGTGGCCAGATACATCTTCTAGCTGTGGGGTTTTCCCCAAATAGAGCTATTTGTGGCAAAGTCCAACAGAACATGTCTGCAGTTCTGCTCCCTATGGGGCCACAGCTTTTTATTATTGAAATGGCTCTGGAGGACAAAAACTAAGAGACATGAATGCTAAATGCTATTAAAAGTAGTTTATGAATTATAAATGATTGCGATCTCACTTCTTTTCTTCAAACTTCTTTATGTAGCTCTGTGTAGCTAGAACTTTTTCCTTGCATTGCCACTTTACAGTATCTAAATAATTTGGGACAGCCCATGAGAAATTGTGGCAGTAAAGACGACATATAAACTGATTCAGTGGTTTTTTTGTTTTATTTTTATACCCCCCTTGAAACTTGTATTCTGTACTTACCTTGTGAAACAAACATATTTTAGGAGATACTTCTGGTGGAGGTGGCATCTTTTGGATTAGACTTAAAGGCGCAATCCTGATCACTTGCAATAATTACGGTCTCATGGCACTTCTTATATGAGAGGGATGTAAACTTCAGTGTCCTAGGTCAATACTGATTGGGTAACTTCATTCCACCTACCTACTTTCTTGTCTTTGGTTTCAATAGGATGCGGTACTTGTCTTCCCTTCCTGTTTGAAATTGTTGTGTTGCTGTGCACTGTACATTGTTGCTGTATTTCAATGGTGGGTGGAATGATGTGTGTATGATGTGCATGAAAAATTGCTACTAAAATAATTTGGTGTACTTTTGAATGAAATGCTCTGTATGAATGGAGGGTGTTGGTTTAAAAAATAAAACCCAAATGAAAACATACTTCTTTTTTTTTTTATTATTTGATTGTTTACTCCTCCACCTCTTTCAATGATAAATAGTGATCAGAGAAAGGAAGCTACTTGGAAGTGACAGAAGAGAGGGACCAATGCCTAGTGAAGACTTTACGTTGAAGGAGTGGCTACAATTTTGTGTATGGTTGTAGCTCCAGTGCCATGTGGGAAAGGAAGTGAATGATTGCAAAGTTGAAAGGATCATTAACACAGTGGTTGAAGTCATCAAGTATTAAGATGGAGGATTGGGAAGAAAGGAAAAGGAGGACCAGGAATCCAAGTTGAAGAGGAAGTAGGATGAGGAGACAGGGGAAAGTTAGTCAGCAGATGGCATAAACCTCAAGGGGAAGGAGGGAAAAGAGTTAGAAATGGGAGAGCAGGAAGCCAGTGCTTCTGCTATTGAGAGCATGATGAATGGGAACATTGCCTCGGTTGCTGCCTTCTCCTTTGACTGGCTCCCACGTAGGGGGAAAGCCAGTAAAAACAAAGATGAAGGAGGTGAGAGAGAGAGAGAGAGACATCACAGGTTGTGTCTGCTTTCTAAAAAGTAAAGCAGGAGCCCCAGATGGAACAGGAAAAAAGGGAACTTGAGCAACTCTAGACTGCACTAAAGTGAGACAGAGGGGTTACTCCTGGGGGAATTCTGTGTCTAAAAATTCTGCCCACAATGTTTTAAAATTCTGCATATTTTATTTGTCAATATAACACACTATAATCATGCCAGTTTCAATTTTGATAATTTATTTCAAAATACCTGTCAGCAAATATGTCTGTAACAATATAGACAACAAAAAAAGATTCAAGTTGCAGTGCCCGGAGTCTGAAACTGTACTCAACCTGCAGTATGGTTCAGAAAATATTATTCAAATGGCCAAAGTTCATTGTCCATTATCTCGAAGTCACTTTGAGTAAATTAATGTTCAAAACTAGTGCACAAAGTTTACAATCCAAGAAAAAAATTCCTCTATGCCTGTTTCCCCCCAGAAGATAAGATCTATGGTAGCCAATCTCTGTGCTTGGTAAAAGACTTCGATATAAGCGGTGAGGCAAGTGCAGTCTTGTTAAATGAGCACCAAGCTAGGAACCGGGAACTCCAGGGTTCTTTCTGTGGACACTCGCTTGCTGTGTGACCTTGGGCAGAAGGTCACTTACGCTTTCTGTGTCCTTGTTTTCCAGTATATAAAATGGACAATGATATTTCTGTACCTCTGCAGAATGCTGTGCAGTCTTGTCAGGGGATGATGTTAAAGCCCTTTGAGCATATTAACTTTATATAGTGCTAAGGATACTTCGCATGGTGAGTCCAGGGAATCGGACTTCTTATACTTGTACCTTTAATGAATTAAGACTGTTTTTAACTGAGGGGATGGGACAAAAAGAGAGCATGAAGGGAATAGGAGACTGAGAACAAAATGTCCAAACGTGGGTGGCTGCGTGTACCGATTCCCACCCGCTGCGTGTCTCCCTTTTTCTTTATAGCATCAGGTGCTTCCCAACCCTCTTACTTGGGCAAGTGGAAGCACCTGTTCTGGCAGAGGAGAGCTAGATCTACTTCATTTACTGAGGCCAGCCACCCTGCGACACAGTCCCTGTTCCAAAGACCTTAAATTCATATTTAAATTCACATTTACTTTGATTCCATGTAAACAGTGTTGATTCACAAGCTGTGTATGTTGCTGCTTCTGTTTCAGGTAATGGGCCCCATCATGACCGCTGCTGTGTCTACAATGAAAGCAACTTGGTAGATGGAGTTTACTGCCTGCCAGTAGGACACTGGATCGAAGTCTCTGGACACACTGATGAGATGAAGCACACAACTGACTTCTATTTTAATATTGCAGGCCATCAAGCCATTCACTATTCCAGGTAAAAAAACAAACAATGAGTCTTCTCAAGGGCTTGTTCAATCCAGGCAGCTAAAGAGGAAATCTGAACTGAAAGGATGGATAGAGACTTAGACCATATGGTGGCAAATGGGAATTTGTGTGGAACAGAAAGTAACGACCCATTCACATACACAGAGATGCAACTCAGAAGGCTAAATTTACAGTCCCTCAGAAAAGCTTAATGCAAATTAACTGCCCCTAAGCAGGTAAAAATCAGATATGTCTTAAGGTTAAAAATTTACAGAGCTGTTTTAGTTATTCCAAAACCAAGCATAACAAACCCAGAAAACTCGCAGTTAAGGTTATACTTAAAAAACCCAAATATGTTAAGTATGAGAGTGCACAATTAAGACACCCAAACAACCTTCACGTTGCAATGTAGTGATGCCAAGCAAATAAAGGAGAAGCAATTTCATTGCAAAGACTGTGTGGATTTCAGGTTGCATCCTGTTAGCTATGACCAAATGGTCACCCCTCCCACACAAAGTGTGAGGGTCCACTGAGCCACAGCATAAGCGACCTTTGGGGGTTTGCCGCAAGGAATTCCTCTATTAGAGATCTGCAGGTGGCAACATGGGGCTCTGTAGGTATTTTTACTAAGCATTACCCCCTTATGCAAGCTTCATCCATGGAAGTTTCCTTTAGAACAGGAGGCCTGTGATCTGTAGTGCAGCATAGTTCCTCACACCCTCCTCCTCAATGTGATGCTGTTTGTGAGTCACACACAGTGAGTACTCATAGGGACCTGCACTTGTAGAAAGAAAGGTTACTTACTTTATAATATCTGGAGTTCTTCAAGATGTGTGGTCCCTATGTATATTCCACGACCCACTCTCCTTCCTCTCTGCTTTGGAACCTTACTATAATCCACAGTACAGTAAGAACTGGAGAGGCAGGCAGGCAATCCGTGCCACCTCATTTGTCCCCAGTTTGGAGCACGAGCAGGCACAGGCACAGACCAGCGGACACTGCTAGTGAAAAATCTTTCAGTCTCAGGCACATGGAGCACACCCATAGTGAGTGCCGAGTGGGACCACACATCTCAAAGAACTCCAGTTACTAAAAGGTGAGTATCCTTTCTTTATGTAAAACATCTTCTCATTCAGAATATCTGTGCCTTGTTTATCTTTGACGTCTGTCGGTTTAATTTGATGGGGAAAATATTTTTACCGCTCTATGCATTACAGAGCTAATAAAGCTATGGACGAGTGAACATGGTTCTGTAAAGCCTCAGACAACATCCAGAAATCTTCAGCTGAGCTGTTATTGCAGTATTTTTACTAATGGTGATAACTGTAGAGGCAGAAAAAACATAACCTGATTTTTAAGTGTCTGGTTGAATTTGGGAAAAAAGTGAATGTTTGATTTTTAAATTGAGCAGATAAGATAGGGAAGTCACTGAGCAAGACTAGTCATGGAACCCCACCATTATTTGGCAGGGGTGGACAGGGTTTTACGGGCATTTATATGTATTTTAAATACCATGGTGTTATTTCAGTCAGTGTAGAATATAAGTGACGGTTCTGTCCAGCTAAAATATTAAACAAGTGACAACATAGTCATGTGGTTATTTGGAAGTGTCATGTAAATGAAATCTTTTCAATTTAAAGAATAATATGTACTACTAATAATACCATTAAAGTTACCTGTTGTAAATATCAATAAACTTTTTTTTTATTTCAAAATGTTCTTGAAAAGGAATTGTTCAATACGTCTCTCTTTCAGGGCTGGTTCCCTCCCACAGCCAAAGGCAGCCCTACTACACTATAATGAAACATCAACAGGCCCACCATGGATTTGGGCTGCTGCTGGGGGGAGCAGAGCCGGTGACCCATGGCAGAGAGCTTAGGGAAGGGGCTCTGGGACCCCAAAAGTTATGGTGGCCGTACATGTGGCCGCGTTGTGGTGACCATATGGGGCTACCGTGGCCACACTTGAGAATCGCTGCTACAGAGCAACAGCATCAGTAACAGGACTAAGAAATTATGAGCTACAGAGCAAAAGAGTTGTATGATGACATTACTGGTATCTGCTGTGGGGGAGAGAGATTAAATGCAGGAGATATTTTTTTAAATAACTAAATTATAAATTGTTTAAAATTAAGTGTGTGTGTGTGTGTGTGTGTGTGTGTGTGTGTGTGTGTGTGCATGGGAGAGGGGAGGAATGAAGAAGACCACATTATGGGAACAGAGCCTTATCTGTATATCCCGGGCTCATTTATTTAGATGTATTTAAAATTGTGCCTATCCCTAACTCTTGTGCATGAATAAAATTTTGTTCCAAACACGTACAAATCAAAATTGGATTCTCACCAATGAAAGACCTTCCCTAACCTACCCAAATTGAAACTCTCCTTTCTCATTAACTTCCCACTGTCAGCCTTTTCCCACAGAGCCTAGGGGGCTTGTCTTCACAAACCTTTAGTTCACAGCAAGCTGGGGTGTGAATCTACCCCCACTAGCCTGCCACAGTCCGACTGTTCATGTGGATCCTGCTGACATGCATTAACAATCTGCTAATGTGCTTTGATCTAGACCTGTGTCAAAGAAGACTAGATCAAAGTGCTCTAAATCTCCCTCCTCATTAACTTCCCACAGCCCTCCTGTACAAAGTCTAGGTAAATAGATAGGCATTGCAGTGTGGCTTGAAGGTAAGCAAATTCAGACTGGGGGAGACAGAAAACAAGTTTCAGAGATAAGGGATCCCCTCACTGAGAACACCTTGTCCTCAACTTCCTCAGGTGTAAACTCAGCTGATTTCAACTTCTGTGGTATTGCACAAGCAGCCTGATGGTTTCTAAAATAAGCAAGACCTGACCTTTTTATAGATTCAAACCAGCCCCTTGAATTGCAACCAGAAATGTATGGGAAGCCTGTGCAGGTCAAGGGGCACAGGTATAACACGCTGCCTGAGGGAAGTACTGTTGAAGAAGCAGGGAGCTGTATTCTGTACTTCCTGACGTTTCTGACTGGTCTTCAAGTGTAGTTCCATGGAGAACACATTGCAGTAAGCCTTGGAGTTGACAAAAGATATAGGCAAAGGGGGGCGGGAGGGGGAGTCGGCATCTAGAAAAACAAGTCATAAATGGAAAAGGGCACTGTTGGCTACTCTCCCTTCCCACTGGCCCCTGAGATTGGTTAGACATTGGGACAACCAATCAACTTCAACATCTGGATCTGATTAACTAGAAAGGTCAGTCAGAGGAGGTTGTTCAAGAGCAATGGGGGAAACTTTTTTGGCGTTTGGGACCTAAATTTGCGCCTTCTGCGTGGCAGTGCAGTGCCTTGCCACTAAACTACCGGCTACTTTCTTTATGATGCCTGTTCTAATCATCCTTTAACTATAGTACACTATATGTGTACACAATATGTCTGGATGCATAAACATACAGTTATAGTTAGGCATGGAAGGATTAGATTTTTATTGGTAAATGTCAATTTCACCATAGGCACACAAATGAAAAAATATTTCCATTCAGTCTCAATTTACAGAGAGGCAAAATAAGAAACCTGCTGCTTAAGAACTTATTAGAGTTTGATTTAAGGATATTTAATCATAGAATATCAGGGTTGGAAGGGACCTTAGGAGGTCATCTAGTCCAATACCCTGCTCAAAGCAGGACCAATTCCCAACTAAATCATCCCAGCCAGGGCTTTGTCAAGCCTGACCTAAAAATCTCCTAAGGAAGGAGATTCCACCACCTTCCTAGGTAACCCATTCCAGTGCTTCACCACCCTCCTAGTGAAAAAGTTTTTCCTAATATCCAACCTAAACCTCCCCCACTGCAACTTGAGACCATTACTCCTTGTTCTGTCATCTGCTACCACTGAGAACAGTCTAGATCCATCCTCTTTGGAACCCCCTTTCAGGTAGTTGAAAGCAGCTATCAAATCCCCCCTCATTCTTCTCTTCTGCAGACTAAATAATCCCAGTTCCCTCAGCCTCTCCTCATAAATCATGTGCTCCAGCCCCCTAATAATTTTTGTTGCCCTCCGCCGGACTCTTTCCAATTTTCCTACATCCTTTCCACTGTCGACTCATATCCAGCTTCTCGTCCACTGTAACCCCTAGGTCCTTTTCTGCAGAACTGCTGCCTAGCCACTCGGTCCCTAGTCTGTAGCAGTGCATGGGATTCTTCCGTCCTAAGTGCAGGACTCTGCACTTGTCCTTGTTAAACCTCATCAGATTTCTTTTGGCCCAATCCTCTAATTTGTCTAGGTCCCTTTGTATCCTATCCCTACCCTCCAGCATATCTATCACTCCTCCCAGTTTAGTGTCATCTGCAAACTTGCTGAGGGTGCAATCCACGCCATCCTCCAGATCATTAATGAAGATATTGAACAAAACCGGCCCCAGGACCGACCCTTGGGGCACTTTTACTTTGTGTATCTTGACATGATGTTGACAGTTTGTGTTTTAACTGTTATAAAGTTTTAACTTTGCATCTCAACATCTACTGTCATTAAATAATTGTCTGACACCCGCCCCCCAATTTCCTACAACTCTGAAAATATAAATAGATAAAACATTGAAAAAATGCATAAATCCCATACTTTTGTGCTACTGTGAACATTTAAAAAATGCTTAAAAATAAACATTGATATTATCATTTAAACCAAGCCTAGTTATAGTTGTTAAATAACATGCACAGGCTACTGAAAGTTTAAGAATAAGACCAATGTTAATTCTAATACTGCATAACAAAAATATATAAATACATCAGATGTAACAAAATACAATTGAAAATAATTTCAGAGAAACTATTTAAAGATAATAGTTTCTATTTTGATGTTGAAACAGATTCTAAACATTATTTAAGCCTTACAACATTCCCGTGAAGCAGCTTGTTTTGACAGATTAACCAAAGTGGGCAAGCCACTTATTTTGTTTTCTGAATGCAAACAAGAAGTTCTTATCCACGTAGCCCTAGACTTGTCCACTGTGACATAGCAAGTCAGTGTCAGAATGGGGAAGGAAGTT